AAGGTCCAATGTTGTAGTCCCTTACCTTTATCTTACAAAGATTTCGGCTTGCTCATATCCCGTTACTACCACCGAAATCTTATTAATATTCATAATTTTCTCTTTCTCTTATCTATATTGGAATTTATATGCTTATTTTTCTTACGACTCGATTCTTGTTCTTATTAATTAACAAGATTATTCTTGAATCTGCTCATTAAAATTTGATATTTATTATTTTATATTTGAATGATTTCAATAATTTCTCAGAAAACTTTTCATTATTCAATATTTATATATATAGAAAAAATACATATTTATATATATATATATTCGTAATTATATTCTATAAAATAGAATATCTCATATTTCAGAAATTCGCAGAAACCAATATCATCTTATAATTCAGAATCCAAGCCTAAATTAAACGAATACTAACTTCAATACAAATGCTAGCCGAATCAATTCTATCTTCCTTCAAAAAAATCTAACAAAAAAATGTGAGTCGCATCACCGAAAAAAGCCGATCGTCGAAAACATAAAAAAAAATCTCGTCGTGGGATGATAACCTCTCGATTTCTTTTGACATTCGAGGTTTTATAGTCAGATTGGAAGCCGTTCCTGACCAAGTCAAGTATCACCCAATCCATCTGCAGAACGTGTCGACATCCTCCGCTGTTAGAAAAAGATACACTCCAACTTTCAAAATTTCGATAATATACATATTACGTACCATAAGCTTCGTTTAAAGCAATAAATTTCACACCTTCATCAATAGGTAGAATCGTTTTGCGCAAAATCAAAAAAATTCAAAATTGCAAAATACACCACAGGGAGGTGGAATGGTAACCTCTTGAGGGGAGAAGCGTGGAAATCTAGGAGATGTCCCGGTAGCAAATCGACCCGAAAAAGAGATTAAGATTGCGCCTTGTCAGTCTCCGTATATGTAAGGGATCAACGCTGATGCAGGTAAAACGTCCAAAGTCCAATTCGAAGACCTATCATCATCGTCATCATCATCATCGTCACAATGTTGTGACAATGTAGCCCAACAGCGGCAACAACAAAAACCCTCTGTACCTAGACAGCGTCATATTCGACACTTCTTCAATACTTTTGCGGGTGTCGTTGATGCAGTTCATATACCATTTTCATATCCGTCCAACTTGAAGATCCAATTCTTGATGCAACAACATGCAGGGGCACCATGTGCACATGTATTAGGGTCCTCTGGTTTCGGGTTGTTCACACAAGCCATGTCATCTCGCCCGATCCTCATGCGTGCCTCGACCCCTTTCTAAATCTCCAGTCGCTTCGTCATTCAAAGCTGCTCGTGCTTGCCTCAGCTTGGCTCCACTGTTGTTTGTGTTGCTGTTGTACTTTGGGAGCAACTTCTCTCGTACCAGGTACACCATGACTGTTTAATTGCCAATGATGCTGAATTTGTCCTTGCCCGAACTGTCACCATGCATTTTTTGGGCAGAAAGCAGGCTGTCCGCACATCGACTCAGACCTTGAAGATACCTGATCTTCTGTTTAGTCAAGTTGCCAATCGCAGGTGGAGGTTCGCGATATTCCCAGATGGTGTTCACCTTACGTTGAAGCATGTTGAAGCTTTCTCGCGGCTGCACACATACAGCCAGCAGCACTGTCTCCAACCCCGCCTCACTCTTTCTGAAGGAATCGCTGCTCACAAGGCTCTAGTTGCTTCGACATGCCAATGTATCGGGCCTGGTACTTGTCAACAAACCAATCCTGTCAGGATTTCATCGAATGTATGAAGCCGACTTCTGACAGGTCTAGTTGACGTATGCCAGCTTTCAGTTTCGTTACGTGGTTCGGGTTTACAGTTGCCTCCTGTTGGGCTACGCGGCACAGCTTCCAAATCGGCACTGAGGGCTCGGACTCGGAGATCCTCAAATAACTCGATTCATGCGTGATCGTCTGGTCCATACTGGTCCGATTCCTAAAACGTACTATCTCCTCTGTCCTTCAGCGCCTGTGGCCGCTCATCTGGGGCCAAGCGCATGATTCGGCCTTGTCTGCATCAGGCTGGAGGGATCGAGGCGGACCTTGGGGTGAAGGTACATCTGCAGTTCCATGCTGGTTCTGCGGAAGATGAGTCCCAAGTCATGTGGTCCAGCGCATTTGACATTCGAGAGGGTTTGGCTTGAGTCAATGCGGTTGCCATCTAGAGAACAGCTCGAGTGGAGTATTGGCTTGAAACTGAAAGAAACAGGGAAACGAGAGTGAAGAGTTAACTCATGTAACCCAACTTATAGGGCGACCTGCTGCTGGGAAGCAACGTAGCCTCGATGCAACGCGAGTCAATGTCTTACAGAATACTCATTGCATAGGCCATCCCGGAATTGCCAAGGAACTACCTTTCCACTCGCGCCTAAAACTCGGCTGGGGCAGTCTGCAACCCCCAGGTTTGGAAGGAAGGGTTCGGCTTGTTGCACGGCTAGTGCCCATCCATGTATCCTGCGAGCCAAACAAGTTGAGAAGGGTTCCAGGGATCCGCGCGACAGCGCAGCCACTCTTCAGCTGCATTGAAATACGCCGAAACGCCGTAAGTGTCCTTGCCAAGGTAAATGTGGCAGCGTGAGAAGCAAAGCTTAGACACGAAGTTTGCCTGCATCCCAGACCAGACATTCCCCAACCCCGTCCCATTACCATTGTTATTACGACAAGGAAATCTGTCAAGGTGGACGAAAAAGCACGAACACAAGAACGAAGCTCGTCAAGGCTCAGCATTGGCATAGTGCCAGTTGAGGTAGTACCTCGCACCAGATTCATTCGGGTGAGCTCGAAGAGGATGTACGACATATCTATAGTATTCCGAAGCAACTATGACGATCACCAGCCCAAGCGTCATGAAGAACTAGCATAATATGGCGAGGCTTGGAAAGAGCTTTCTCAGGGGCACCGAGCATCCACAAGCTGTCGCATGTGGAAGACTTGATCTCGGCAATGGAACTCCTGCACCGAAATGGTCAGTGAACCACTGAAAAACCCAACTATGAGAGCTCATAGAAATTGCCTCCAAGACTTGGCTATCTGAAGCCACTCATCCTTGCACCATCCGGTACCCCTCCCTCCCTCCCTCCCTCCCTCCCTTTGCAAAGTCCGCTCCCCCAAGCTGTACTTTAAGTCGGATCTGTTCCCAAGTTCACGTCCACTCCCCTACCAAGTTCTTGAGCCAAAATGTCTAGGGTTTCAGGATTTTTCAGGGTTTAGGACATGAAACTCGGAAAACATCTGCTGACCTTCACCCTGACGGCAGCGTGCTCAAAGCCCGGAATGCGGCCATACCTTGCACGGTGATTCGTCGCTTACAAGAATGCGACAGGCACTTATCATTCAGACCTAGCAGGCACCGTTGGCGGACACTGCAAGTTCTGTTCAGGCAGCCTTAATTGGATCGGCACAACTGAGGCCGAAACCAGGCCACGAAATGCGGAAAGTCATCGGGCACGGCAGGAGTTCGGGTCGACATGGCTCATGGACCTAGCTGCTACACGAAGTAGGCAGCGTCATGAGTGCTTTGACCATATCCTGCCCAACACTGGTCACGGTTACATTCATAGGAAACTTTTGCAAATTCATAACACTAGCGTGATGGGATCTGCAAGTCGCGAGAAGCGAGCGCACCTACACAATCTCACAAACATGCCGTGATGGTGTGAAATTACAGATCTCAGATCTACACGTGCAAACATGCAGCAGTAAAACTTTTAAGCATCTCCAAAGGTGGAAACCGTTTTCTCAATATATACCGAGATATGTGCACACATTGTCTCGCCTCTGGTGTTCACGCCGTTCGCCGCCCCGCTTCCCCGCATGGTATATTATGAGACAAGCGAGTGAACACGGAATCTCCGTGGCATTCATCGGTTTTGGGCCCTCGTTCCTGCCATGTGCTGCCATCACATCTCAATTGCTTGAAACAATCACAAAGGCGAGGTAAGGGTTGAAACCATCCCAGCTGATGCAATTTGGGGTCTGGAAAGAACTTCATTTACATGCTGTTGGAGGGATTTGGCAGGTTGGGCTGAAGGCTGATATCAGATGCTGGGCAGGTTTTTCCGTCGCTGTGACAAGAACAGTAACGAATCTCAACACATGCAACGCGAAACGAACATGCAAACGGTCATATGGCAATGGCGAAGAGCCTAACCCCGCAGACTAGCCGAGCACGAACCAACAAGAAACAACTACCACGACAGCAACATCAACCATCACACCACCAAAAAAGCCGACAATATCACCAACAAATTGAGAGAAAAGTTGAAGTAGGGTCCTGCGTTTCCTCGTTGCCTGATCTGATGCCTTTGTTTGATCTCATTTGGTTTACCGCTTCTCTGGTGTATCCATGCAACTCAGATGTCTATGTGCTCTTAAGAGCCCTGGGGCTTTTGAAAATGAAGCGCAGTCGCAGCTGCATCCACTAAGCCTGTACACCATGTCCACCTCTGATGCCATGCCTGTTGTAGCCACAGCAACCGAGGCCCAAGGCCAACGACTGGACTCACCGTCGGCCGTCGGCCCTGGTCTTCAAATTCCTCCGGCCGTTGCAGATTTTCCCTGCGGCCAATATAACACAACGAGCGAGGATCGGGATGGCCATTGCTGTTCAACATTCATACATACTAACACTAATACTAATGCGAAGGACTGGTCCGAACACAGTTTGGACTTCTCGCCATGGTAGTTTGTAGCAAGCATTGATGAACAGCGGTCCCGATGCACGTGTACAATACCTTTCGGCATTGTGACAGAACACCCATGTCTTCGACACTGGTGAACCGTCAAGAACCACTGAACTGTGCTTGCATTCAGGACGTGTTGCCAAAAAGATGTCCCAAGAGCTCGCGGCAGAGCTTCCGTGTTTGGCTCACTTTATGCGCCCAGAGCAAAACTACTTGAAAGCAACTGCAAATGGATTGCACCCCTGAAAGTCAAGTGGGCTACTAGTGATTACTAGTGCACTGCAAATGCCAAAACCGAGCTTTGGGCGATCACTCCTTGTCCATGTCTGTACTGGAGTTGAGGCTACTTGCAAGGTCAGCTCGCAGGTCACGTCGGAAGTCACGTGGATTCAAGGACCTGCTTGCTTCATATGTCTACAGCAGCAAAACGTGGCACTATCTTCGGTACGACCTGGAACCATATCCGAACGCATCGTCTTCGATCTCGATCTCTTCCGGTATTTCCTGTTTGTACATGGCCCGAGTGCACCAAATCCACAGCACAGCAACTCCGATTCTCAAAAACATGTCATGAGCAGCATCTGCGAATCTCCAGACCTCAATCGGCAGAGCATCGCCGATCCCTTCGTCCTGGAGAAGTCTGGGGGGGACAAGCTGGTCAAACTATTCACTATGTTGTTGGTAACTATCCACATTCTTCATAAAAGAATACTTAGTATGAGCTGCCACCAACCTTCGTGCTAGTACATGCTGGTAATCTATAGCAGTAGCAACAACAGTTCATAGTCGTCTGCATGCTGAGCCGCGGCCTCCTCGGAGGAGGTGTCGGTAAAGTCTGCATCACGAACAGCCTCCATACAAAGTGCAGCATGCAGTGAGTGAAGACCCTAAACCCTAAGCCCGAAGCCCTAAACTATTCGGGAGTTTCCGAAAAGAAGTGGTACCTTATTTGGGGTCCTTATAATAAGGATCCTACTATTTGAGGTACTATGTTAGGGTAACCCCAGGCCCTAAGCTCTAACTCCTGTGTGCCAGCAGCGGCCGCCTTGCTCTGTTTCGGGGCGCGTTGCTCGGGCAACTCCTGCTTCGGCACAGCAGCCTATAATAGAGTATCATGTATTATAGTACCGCATAGTACAATATAGTACAATATTGCATAATAAGGTAGAAAAGCAATTTGACCGAACTGACTCGAAAATAGCATAAATATGTACAGTAAGATTATGATTATTAAAAGGCTAGAATATGAGAACGCCTTCTCTCCATAATTGCATTGACCCCGCTGTCCTGCGTGGCGCGGCCGGGTCTAGAAACCTCCCGACTTCCGGGCTCCTTCGCCTGGGAAGCGGTCTGCCGTAACACAGCATAGTAAAATACGATTCCGATGTAGCAATACAGCATCATACAGCATAGTCCATACGATATAGTTTAATATTCTGATGTACTATACTTGGTAGAGTTCCCGAGGCCCAGGCCGCTAACTCCACCTGGACGGCAAGGACGGCGTCGGGAGAGCAGGACACTCCCCCGGGCGTAGTGTCGTCCTGGCATGGTGGGAGTGGTGTTGCGCTGCATGATTTTGCGTCCTTTGAGCGCCATTGCAAGCATTTGCAGGCAACAGTATGACTGCTTCGATTGTTACCGCTACCACTCCATTGCTATCTGTACTTGCTATGTGCATCTCGGTGCAGTGTTCTCTGGGCAAGCTTATGACTTGTGAGTTGCACTGCTAGGGCGGAGGGCTCCTTGCAAGCGAATCGGACTCGAACCTTTTTGGATGAAACAATAGGCATTAACGCATGGGCAGATCCTGCACCAAGCTCAGGCGGGCTGTTTAAAGGCGTCAGATCCGGCGTGTGCCTTTGCTAAGCCGGAGGCAGCTATTGCAAGACAGTATTCCACAGCTAAAGTAGTCGAGACATTCCTGACAAGTCGAGTGTAAGTCATACTCCGCAGACTGTTAAGCCACATAACCCTTAAAGCCCTCGGAAGTGCTCACCTTGGGGCAGGCCCTGGCCGTAAAAGCGATGCAGCGATGGCACTAGCTGGATGGCTTGGCTCATCACAGCGAATCTCATTGCCATCGATAACCGATGTTACCGGCTGGGCGCAGCAAAGCCAGCTCACCATGATCAGCAACTGCCAGGCCTCATAGTACTGCGCAGGGGGGCATTCCCAAACTCCGTAGCATGATTCTGAAGGGCTTTGAGCACCGCCGGGCAGTATGTCTGTGTGTGCTGCATGTTAAACTAAAATCGCTGAATGCAAACGCATGGCAGGACGGTTTCTACCACCCGGCCTAGGCAAAGGTCACCGGGGCACGGCAACAAGAACCTGCCAAAGAAGAAGGATGAATCGTCTCGAGTGACTGTAGTCTCTCCATTACCAGCCAGCTTTCGAAGTCTAAAGCCTTTGACCTCAAGCCCCTGACCCGAACGTTCTAGAATTTTAGGACCTGAACCTCAAACCCCTGGACTTTAAACAACGAGTGCTGGAGGCTTGCCGCCTGGGGTCGCAGATGGGGTGGTGGCGATTGTGGTGTCGCTGACGCTGGCATATTGCCTCGAGGTCCAGGGTTCGGTGATCGGGGTCGGGTTTCATGGTCTTCCCGTTTAAGGCTCCAGGGCCCGGACTTGATTTAGGAAAGTGCCCCTTTTTACGGGCGATGTGGCTCCTATCCTCGCCCGTGATAAGTTCGTACCATTGTAAACTAGCGTTCTAGCATTCTAGAATTGTAGTATTACGGTTAGTACCGGATACACATAAAGACGGTTGCCGCACTTTCTGGAATCGCTGCTGCCGCCTCGTGTTGGAACAGCTCGTGGGATCATGCCTGGTCCTCGCATGGTTTGGCTTTCGTGTGGCGGCTTCTAGGCCTGCAGGAACATGCTGCCTCCCATTTCAGGCACTCTGTCCTGGACTTCTCGCCTGCCGTGCCAAGGCGAGGGGCACCTGTGGCGCCCAGGACCTGCCAGATAAAGCAAGACGAGTTATTTCAAGAATGCTCGAGGGCTGTTCAAAAATCTATGCAGATGTACCTGCGCCCTGGGAGAATGAAGGGATGAGGATGTTTACTGCTACTGTCCACCCTAGCAGCATCGCAAGAAGGCATTCGAAATGGGAGCGTGAGAAAATTCTACCAACTGCCAAGTAAAACCCAAATGGCAGAGCTGGAAGGATCCTCTATCAACAATCAGGAGCGTGCCTCGGAGCCGCGACACGTGGTTGCAACACAAGGCCCCCTGCGACCTCAACTCGGGTGTAGGGCTTAGGGTTGGTCCTGCTCCTTTCGTTTTGGAGCTCTGATGCTGGGAATTGGCGAGTTCAAGCTGCCCTACAATGCAAATGTCTGCTTCTTTTCGCAGACACACGGTCCTTCGCCGATCCAGGAAACTCGGTTCGGGGGAGGTTTTCCCACGCCAGGTCGGTCTGTCTACGGAAACAAAACGCTGGGCGTGCTGAGGCCGGAGCGGGGACAGACTGTGCACCGGGCATGGGAGACGGAGACAGGACCCGAGTACGGCCTGCCCAGGCTTTACAGCTCTGATTTGCGCAAGCCACCAGATTCCCCTGCACCTTGAGGGACGCACACGGAGTACGCAGCCCCGGCAATGCCTGCTCCACTCCTGCCACGAGCTCAGAATAAGACAGCAGGATTGTACAGTCCCGACTCTCTTCGGGGCGCGCCCGATGGATGAACTGGGCGACAGGGCCACCGCGAAGTCGCCCAAACCACGGGAGCCTCGGGGCATAACACTGGAAGTAAAATGCCACGGATCTAGCCCGGACAGTAGGCTCTATCTAATATGCCTACTACGACAAACTAGAAGTGTACCTGAATATGACTATACGGTGGCTGTGAGTATTGCGAAGTATTGCGAGCATCATGAGTCGTACGTGTTTCAATGCTATGACTACTCAAACAGTCTTGCAGCATTTCGGGATTTTTGCCAGATCAGGCCATTCTAGGAAAGATTCCCAAAAAAATCGTGATTTAGAGCTGAAGCCTTACAAAATAACATATCCAGCAGACTCGAAAAAGCATCAACCAACGAGGAGCAACACCCCATGAGGAATAAATCCCAACACTGCTTAAATGCTCTAAACACTACACCTTGAACTCTATTATGAAACCTGTTCTGAAAACCCCAAAGGGGCGCCCTAAATCCTACCCAACCCAAAGCAGGAACCCTAAACCCTTAACTCAGAACGGGAACCCCAAGCCCGAAATCCTCCCAAAATGTGGACTAACTCCTAAACCGCCCAAAAACAGGGACCCGAAACCCTAAAACAAACAACCCGAAA